AAACGCTGATTTAGAAAGATTTATATTTTTATTTATAAATTAGCAAAATTTCCAAACAGGGCTCTACACGCATACGCGTGTGTCTGTGTGTTTTAAATTATATTTCGATAACCTGTGTCCAAAAGCAACGGTGTCCAATTGTACGGTGCGCAAAAGAACTGTGTCCAAATGAACGGTGCGCAAAAGAACTGTGCGCAAAAGAACTGTGCGCAACATTATGTGTCCAATTGTACTGTGCGCAATTGAAGGCTTCTCACATCTTCCTCCCTCCATCCCAACCACTGCCGTCTGCGTTCTCTCTCTCTCCCTTCCACGCATACAGAATAAGAGAGAGAAAAATCTCGCCTGCGTTCTCCCCCTCCCACGCTTATAGAATAAGATAGAAAAATCTCGCCTGCCTTCTCTTCCTCCCACTCTCTTAAAAAAACACATAATTTATTACCCCATTAACCCCTTTTTGTTCAAGGAAAAAACAAGATTTATTACAACAAAAAATTTTATTATTTAAACTTTTTTGTAACAAAGAAAACATGATTTATGTATGTTTAAACAATTTTTGATAATAATAAAAAAATGATTTATGATTGTTAAACAACTTTTTATAATAATAAAAAAATTATTTATTATTGTTAAACAATGTTTTCTATAAAAAATGATTTATTATTATTTAAACAATTCTTTCACAATAGAAAAAATGATTTATGATTATTTAAACAATTTTCTTTACATAAAAAATGATTTATGATTATTTAAACAATTGTTTTGACATAAAAAGTGATTTATGATTGTTTAAACAAATAAAAAATTTTGTTTAAACAAATGATCCAGAACCGGCCCTCTATACCTTTTTTTGTTTACCCGGTGGAAACCCTCATGGGTCGTCACCCCGCTCCCGCTGGGAGGGGTGGGTGTGGTGTGTGGGACTCGTCTCCCTGGCACTTGAGCAATTGACGAACCAAGGCCAGTAGTGCAACGGAGACGCCTACCGCACTAAAACCACCGGGAGTGGACTTCCATGCGCATTACTTGGGCCATCCGGGAACTGCGACGCATGACTGCCGGATGGCCCCGCGCCGCGCGTTAGCTCGCGCACCTCTGCGCCCTGGTATTCGGGCATGGCCCTGATAAGGGCCTTCTCCTCAGGCATGGCCCTGATAAGGGCCTTTTCCTCAAGTTTGCGGCGGGGGTGCCACCGGGCCCCCCGCCGCGCCCCCTCGCTGTTGTGGGGGGGGGGGTGGGTCACGGGGTATCCCAGCGCGTTCCCCCCCCCTGGGGTCCCAGACCCTCTCTCTCTCCTCCCCTTTTAGTCGCCTCTTACGACAGGCAGGGTCTACCCCGGGGCTATTCGCAAGCGGCACCCGTACGCTTTATCTGGGACCCTTCATCCCTGCACTGTTATTCGTGCCGAGGGAGGTGATTGACTCTCCTCCCTCCCATCTTCAATGAGAGCCCTTAAAAGGGCGCCCACTCTTTACTTGCAGGCGATGTTTCGCCTGCTCAGGGGGGGGGGGGGGACAACTGTCCTACCCCCTCCGAGGATGAGGACGCGGCAGCGTCCTCCTCCTCTCCACCTCTCCCCTTCCAAGGGGGTCTACCGGTAGGGAACGTGGGGTCTCCCCTTGCCGTAGCATGTCGACCACACCCCCTATCTCCCAGCCGATGCCCAGATGGGAGCCCGAGGTCCGCACACAGCGGGCACCTCAGTGCTCCCCGGCAGTCTCTCGCTCTATGGCCGCTTACGCCACATCGGTAACAGCAGCCACTGCGGTCTTTCTCCCCAGTGCACCGATATCCGAGGTGACCTACCTCAAGACATCGGAAGCAACGCGTCGGAGTGAGCTGGGTAAGTGTGATTCCCACCCACCCAAACCCGACGCGCATCCTCCTCTTGTCAAGGAGCGCCCGCGCCGCCCGCACAGGGCATCGGACAACTGCCGCTCCTGACATTCTGCTGGCAGGGCGAGGCAGCACATTAGCGCATACCTCACCCTCCATGCAACCCCCCTCGACCGCAACGGCCTTCCCCAACTCCTCTGCCATCGCGGAGCCATCCAGCCCGGTTATCCGGAGCTCCATCCTCCTGGCTGGTCTCCTGACCCTTACGTTCATGTCTTTTAGGACCTCCTCTAGCCTGCTAGCAAGGGCATTCGCCCCCGCTGTTCTGTTGGCACCGGGGATCTCCAGCAGGAGACCCCCGTTAGCCGCACCCCTAACTCTCACGCCGTCCACCCCCATGCCCTCCAGAGACACTCGCTCCTTTGCAGCCCTGAGGATGGAGGCATAAGTTTCAGGCGTCCCATTTGTCGCCTTCACCAAAACCGCCGCAGTCGTAGGTTCGCGAGGGAGCCTCACCTTGCCTTCTCTCGCGGTTCTCGCCCCCTTCTGCAATTTCTTGCAGGGTCGTGTTAGGGGTTGCTCCCCTACGTTGTCTCCTTCTACCGCCTCGCCCCGGTTATTCGGGGACGGTTCCCTCTCCCTTTCTCTTTTTTCAAGGGGAAGGGAAAGCCCCTCTAATCTGGCTTCTATCGCGGCCAGTCTACCCTCTAGTGCGGCACAGACATCACGGACGACCCTGGTCTTAAAGTCGTCCGTCCGTGCGGACACCCCGCAGGAGTCCACGGCCAGTGTTTCCACAACCGTGTCCTCCCTGTCGCTCTCAGGCGACGACACCTCACCTCCCATTTCCATGGGAGAGGACACTTCCTCCTCCATTATTTCCTCTTCCGTTTGGGAGGATGCCTCCAGTTGTACCACCTCCGTCTGGGAGGATACCTCCTGCATCTCTGGCCTCTTTGGAGAGGTCTCCATCCCCCCCAGGTCACTTCGCTTTTCCATTGCCCTGATCTCCCGTTCCAGGGTCCTCACTTTGTTCCTGAGAAGGATTTTTTCCTTCTCCTGCCTCATCATTTGATGCATCTGCCCACGGTGCAGACGATACGTCTCCACCATGCACAGCTGCATCGTTTCTCCCAAGTCCGTGAGGAATTCCTGGTCAGGCTTTCCTCCCCCCTTGGCCCTCTTCCTGAGTGACTCCACGTCATAATAGCTCAGCTCACGGATTATTCTCTCCGCTCTCTCCTCTGCCTCCTCTGGGGATTCTTCCTCTTCGTGGCCTCTCTTCAACTCGAGGACCCACGAGTATTCATGGCCCTCCCCTGCTCTCTCTAAGCAGTCCTTCATATATTCCAGCCAAGATGTATTGCTGGAGTTTTTCCCATCTGGCCTTCGCCTTCTCTTGGGTTTCCCCCCCTTTCTCCTCTTAGCAGAGGAGGCTTCTGCGGCCGCCTTCCATCCAACCTTGGTCGCAGCCTCCTCTGCAGCACTCTCATCTTCCCAGGAAGAATCGAGCCCATCCCTCTCATAGGTTTCTCTGGTTTTGTTGTAAGCCTCCATTGCGGTTTAATCCCACTGCTATTACGGCTACTTTGGTTAGGGCATGCCCTCTTCCCCCAACACTGGGGGAAGCCCCGAGTCCTCCCAGGGAACCAAAATATGGTGCTGGCTGGGGGATGGGCATCCCCAGCTCGGACCTCCAGCCCCTTACACGCCTTAAAAGGTTTTCGGGGGTCCCGGGCCTCCGATTACCCGGGCACCGTAATAGTGCCGCCACGCAGCGAGTCCCGCGGACGGTTGGGGCGTCGGGAGAGGCTCGTCCTCCCTTCGCCTTGCCCGCCACGGCGACTAGCATGCACTCTTCCTCCGCCGGGGGGTGGTCCCGCTAGAACGCGAGAGCCTTCACGAGAGCCCCCCGGCACGGGGGCACGCCGGACCCCGCCTCGGAATACGTCCGAGCGGCACCGGCGGCCCCCTCGTCCGAGCAGACTGCCGCCGCAAGCCAGGGGAGAAAGACACCCCCGGCCCCAGCAACAGCCCCCCGCCTCCAGCCCCCCGGACCCCGACCTGAGAATAAGTCCCAGCGGCTCCGAGAGGCCCCAGACCGCCGAGCCCCGCCTCGGAAACGTCCGAGCGGCCTCGACGGTCTGTCACCTCGTTCGGACAACGAGCCGGCACCCCCATGCCAGGATGCACGCCCTTAAAAGGGCGTCACCCCGAGACACAGGGGACACCGACCCGCGATGTCCGCGGCCAGATCTGCATCACTGCAGGCCCGGCCCCCTCACTGTCCGCCCACCCAGCGACCCGCACCACGTACGGTTATGCCGCCAGGGTCGGACCCTTCCCCGCTGCCGAGACAGGACCACGTCCAGCCCAGCGGCGAGGGAGCCCTCCTCACTGCTCAGACATGAGCAGCGATGGCTCACACCACTGCCCCCGACCACCTGCCGGAACACCGGCGTGCAATGGCGATCGGTAGCAAAAATGGTGCAGAGGAGGAGGCAAGGACTCGCCCCCTCCTACACCTCACCGGGTATCCCCCGATCCCTGCCGGAACACCGACGTGCAATGGGACCGGGGAAGAGACAACCTGGTTTCCTGTCGGCGAATGGACTCGGTTCTGCCTCGACTTACTTGTCGAGGCAGCCGAGCCCGGAGTCGCCGGACTCCATACCTCCCCCCATGAACTAGAGGGAGGGGTGGTACGCTCTTGGTCAGCGGACGCCCAGCCCATGGAACCGCCGGAGCCTGAAGCGGCACAGAGACGGTTCCAGGCCGAACGCCCGCCTAAGCTCCCCCACCACGACAAGGTGGCGCACCACGGGGGAGGGCCCTCTATACCTACTAGCTCTGCCCGACAGCCAAGCCTCAATAGGATAAGGAAAATTAGTAAGGAAAGCAAAAGCTCTGCCCGACGAATTATCCGGCGAAGTAAATCTCTGCCAGTAAAACGGACGAGTGAAAGGAGTAGATAAGGTTGCGACGACCTGAGTGAACGTAAGTGAAATGACTCAGTGACAACTAACTTTAAGTTAAGATCCTGCTCCCTTCAAGGTAACAAATAGTCTTGCGCGGAACACTCTGTTGCTCGGTAACAATACTCCGACCTTGTCTCCTTCGGCGACGAAAAACTGCGAACCTCCACCCTTTCAGATGCGCG